GATATAAAAATCCCATCATCAAGTTGTTTCACTTAGAGACCTAGAAGAAAGTCAGTTCACCAACCATGCTTATTTTAAAAGTTTTACTCATATCTTTAGAAAAAGTATGAACAAGGTTATCATATGTAGCACCAAAAACAATATCATCCACATTTATTTGAGCAACAAGAAAATCTTCTAAAGCCCTTGTGCAATAGATAAAAAGTCAACTTCTCATACTATGCTCTAGGTGCTTGCTTTAAACCATAAAGAGCCTTTTTAAGATGAAAAACAAAATCAGGATTATGTGGATCTATAAAACCTTTTGGTTGTGCTACATAAACTTTTCCTGTAAAATACCATTTAGAAAAGTACTTTTAACATCCATTTGAAACAATTTAAATTTAAAGTGACATGCAAGAGCAAAAAGAAGTCGAATAAACTCAAGTCTAGCAATAGGTGCAAAAGTCTCATCAAAATCAATTCCTTTAACATGAGTGTATCCTTGTGCAACTAATCTAGCTTTATTTCTTATCACAAGACCATGTTCATCGAGTTTATTTTTAAAAATCCACTTGGTCCCTCTGATATTAACTTCACTAGGTCGAGGCACTAACTCCCAAACATCATTCTTCACAAATTGAAGTAATTCTTCTTACATAACCATAAGCCAATCAAAATTTTGGAGAGCTTCATTAACATTCTTAGGTTCAAACTGAGCGATGTGACATGAGTGAACAATATCATCTATAATGCATGAGTGTCCTATATCATCACGGACTGTACTCCTTGTACCATGCTTATCCCACGGACCTATCACATTACCAATTGGGTGACTCAATCTAACTCTAGAAGTACTAGATGTGGGAATATCTAGAGACGGTGCAGGAATTCCTATAGGTTCATCAGTGGTAACCTCTAATTCCTCATCCCCATCTTCTTCACCCTCTTCACTTTCTCCATCTTTATCCTTAGCTTTTTCTTCTTCTTGAATTACAGGTTCTTTCATTTCTCCTACAATTTTAAAATTAATTTCTTCTTCATCAAGTTGAGAAGAGGTTATCTTAGATTTTGTATCATCAAAAACCACATTTATAGACTCCATGACCACTTTGGTTCTAAGATTAAAAACCCTGTAAGCCCGACTGGTTTGTGAATAACCTAAAAACACACCTTCATCACTTTGAGAGTCAAATTTTCCTAAGTGTTCCCTATCTCTAAGGATATAACATTTACTTCCAAAGACTCTAAAGTATTTAACAGTTGGCTTTCAATCATACCACAATTCATATGAAGTCTTGTTAGTTCTAGGCCTAAGATAAACTCTATTTAGGATATGACAAGCAGTACGTACTGATTCAGCCCAAAAGTGACTAGCAATTTTATTCTCCTGAAGCATAGTACGAGCCATACCTACAATTGTCCTATTTTTCCTTTCCACTACACCATTCTGTTGTGGTGTTTTGGGTGCTAAAAATTCATGCTTAATGCCATTCTTATCATAATATTCAATAAACTCCTTAGGTTCGAATTCATTTCCATTATCGCTCCTAATCCAATTAATTAGATATCCCTTCTCATTTTGAATAAGTTGGCAAATAGACCTAAAATTCACAAAAGTATCAGATTTTTCTCTCAAATATGCAACAAAAGTAAACCTAGAAAAATCATCAACCATAGCAAGCATATATCTTTTTCCTCCAATGCTATCAGGTGTTATGCGACCCATCAAATCCATATGAATCAATTCTAAAGGTTGAGAAGTGACTTTATGAATAAGTCTCTTATGTGACACTCTAGTTTGTTTTCCTAACTGACATTGACCACATATTTCATTCTTAGGCATCTTCAATTTAGGTAAATCTCGAACAAGATCATTGTTAGACAAATTCACTAAATCATTATAATTCACATGTCCAAGTCTTTTATGCCATAAAACAGCCTCATCAGTAACTACAGAAAAACACATAAGTGAAGGATCTGAAAACACAACATGTAATGACCCGGTCATTTCCTTCCTTTCCTTTTTCCTTAGAATTTTACGGATGAATGTTTTTCGTTGAAATTCCTTTTCTAAGTTCGGTTTCTCGTCGCTTAGTGTTGTCTCGAGTGCTCGGAAATGGTTTCTGAGACTCTTTCCTTTGGATTGACAACTTCTTTTGAGGACCGAGTCATTTTCACAATTTTCGTTTTTCAACACTATTCACTTTTTTGTCCTTATTCCTATTTCGTCTTTTTCCCTATTTTTGTCCTTTCCCCATTTGTCACTTTGTTGGCAAAACCTCACTTCTTGTGCTCGGAGTTGGTTTTTGACTTCACGTATCTTTATCGTGAGTGGTTTCCACGGAATACGTATCTTTACTTTTGCAGGAAAGTACTCTGGTTGCTCCCGGTGTCCATAGGGGCATGGATGTATAATTGTAATGACCCAGTCATTTTCATTCCTTTCCTTTTCTCAGATTTTCACGAATATTTTTTTCCGTTGATCTTTTCCTTTCTGAGTTCAGTTTCTCGTCACTTAGTGTCATCTTGAGTACTCGGGAATGGTTTCTAAGACTCTTTTTGGTGGATTGACGACTTCCTTTGAGGACCGAGTCATTTTCACATTTTCACTTTTGTGACACTATTCACTTTCGTCTTTTTCTTGGTTGTCACTTTGTTGGCATAACCTTACTTTTCGTGTTCAGATTTGATTCCGGTTTTGCATGCATCCACGATATTTAAATTCTATACTATGTGTATTTTCACTTTTGTAGAAAAGCATGCTAAGTCCTTACTTTTCTTGTAAAGGGTATAGATGCATGACTTTTTTGTAATTTTCTAAACTTTAGGGGTTTTTATGTAATTACTGTAAAGTAATTATTTTTCGTCTTAGGGACCATTTTGCAATTTAATTTGGAAGATATTTTCAAAAAGGATTTTTTTGCAATTTTTAGAAAGTGTGACAAGTGTCACACTCTCATTGGTCCACTTGTTGACATGTGTGTGGAAACACTTTGAGGCCTTGGATAAGGACATGTAGAGGGTGGAGATTTAACCACTTGTTGGCCTAGGATTGGTGCACTTGTTGGTTTGGATGGTTGACAAGTGTAGGCTTGAAATTTAGCCGAGGATGGAGCCTTGGATTTGTGACAAGTGTAGGCTCACAATTTGATCTTGCATTAGTGTGTGTGTGAGAAGTAGTGTAAGAGCACATAGTGAGTGGAGGATCTCTATCCCCTCCACTCACATTTCATCTTCATCACTTTTCATTTCCTTCCTTTTTTGTAAAGAAAACCCTAGCCTCCATGGATGGAGCCTAAAGCCTTAAGCTTTGACCTTGATTTTTGAGAGCTTTCCATTGATTTCCAAGCTTGAACTTGGGAATACATTTTGTTCCCCTCATCTTCCTCTTCATAACCCTAGAAGGGTTTGCCATTCTGTGTTGATTTTGCCTTGGATTCTAAAGAGACACTTCTCTAGTGAGGTAGGGAATGTTATAGGGTTATATGTTTGTTGTCTTGCATGTTTTTGATGCTTATACAACTTGTATGCATGTAGTGTATTAATTTGAGAAATTATAATTAATGGTAGTTTGCTTATAACTCATTTTAGACTTGGTAAATGGCATGGCCATGAGTTGATCTTTGATATATATTAATTTGGGTTGATTTAGATGAGTTTTCAAATCTAGAGATTAAATGAATTTAATTTGGTTTAAATTATAGTAAATTGTGTTTTGCTTGTAATTCATCTTAGACTTGATATATGGTATGACCATGACTTAATGCTTGATATAAATTAATTTGAGATCATTTGGACAACTTTTGAAATCTAGAGATTTAATTGATTTAAATTAATTAAATTCTATTTGATGATATCTTGCTTATCTTGCACTTTTGATTTGATATATGTGAAGACTATGATATGTTGCTTAACATATATTAATTTGAGGTTATTTGAAATCTAGAGAATTTAATCACCTTGTTTAATTAAATTCTATCTAATGGCTCCATGGATCTATTGGTATTTTAGAAGTTGTTTTTATATTCAAATCATGGACTTGAACTTGTTATGTATTCACTTGATTGTGTTTTGAGCATTGGACAACTTTGTTGTTATATTTATATTCATGAGAACATGTTTTCTTTATAGAATATATTGATGTCATGTGTAGTGAATTGCACACTTTGTAATTGACATTATATATGTCATTTTAGAATTGACTCTAAGGCATGGATTGTGTGGTTTCAACCTACTTGTGCATGGAAGGTATTTTCATGCATTATATAAGTTATGTATAAGTTGTGAACTTATTTGGTTTAATTTTGGAATCTTGGAACATTGTTGAATTGAGATGGCTAGGGTTTGGCTCTAGTATGGGGACGTGAGTCCTCTAAGTCATTGAGATAGTGCGCACTTAGGGTGGTCTTCCCTGCGGGTTAGTGTCCGGAATAACCATTGAGGTCTTAGCAAAATTCCGAGCGTAGATGTCCAAGTCTTCCATTTTTTTTGTTTTCGCATTCAATTCCAAGTTAACAATCATGTTTATATTGTAACTTGTGGTTTTAGTTATTGGCGATTTTGATGTTGTTAAGTACATCCATACTAAATTGATATATTTAGTTGATTTCACACTTTTAGATTTCTAGTTGATAACCTAGAGAACCTATGTCTTGATGTGTGGTATTAGATATTCTGATTATGCTAAATTGTTATGTTTAGTTGATGTTGCATTTTAGACTTCAAGTTGATTACCTTAAGAATCCATATGTTGTTGCTTTGTGTAAGGATGCTCCTATGTTGTTGCTTTGTGTAAGCATGACCCTATGTTGCTAAAATTGCATGAATGAGGTGATTGATGCTAGAAATGATCCTAGGTAGCTAGGATGCTCCTTGAGTCTCACCTTTGACATAGACGTTAGGTGGAATGAATCACAATAATTAAATCATGCAAACTTGTAAAACGTAGGTCGATGCATGCTCATTTCCTACGAGTAACTTTATGTTACTCACCCCTACGATATTGGGGCATATTTCAGGTACAAGAATCAAGGTTGCGATTCTCGTCATGCTTGGATGATTGGTGGACTTGAAGATTTTCATTTCTTGTAAAGGTTGGCTTGAAAAGCCATTTACCTTATATATCAAAATATGTATATTTGAATTTAAATATGTAATGTGTATATGAGTGCACTCCTTACAATGTATTTGACATGTATAAGATGAGACCGGAGGCCAATGACATGTATTTGTATTCTATGTAGTTTTGACTTCATGATATATTATGAAAATATTGAAAAATGTTAAGTTATTATCTCACTATGTTTGCATCGGGCGTGGGAATTCCGTTTTGATTCTTCCGTAGGATCTCATTAATCATGCATGAAGTGTGGCCAAGGGCCAAATGGTAAATTCTAACCATTTGCTAATTTTGGTTTTCAAAATTTCCATTTCAAATTCATTTTCCCCTTTTAGGCCGTCAGGGAGTCGGATTTTGCATCGGTTGTTTCCGGGAGCCACGGACCATTCCCGCGTGCTCAAAATCACTTATTACGTTTGCGTGCATATTCGTTTCAGCCTAGAAGTGCATTTGGGGTCAAAAGTATGTTTGTTGCAAACTTACATTTTTTTGCCGTTTTGAGCCTAAACTGAGCATAAGGGCATTTTGGGATTTTCACTTGAAAAATAAAGTTTTCTTTTGGCATGGTTGGCTAGAAAACATGATTTTGAGGGTAGTTTCTTCTTTGTGTTTTTCTCAAAAAGGTCCAGAAAGTCCTCAAAATTGCATTTCAAGTCAGCATTTCAAGAGCAGCCTACAAGAGTTCGAGCGCTCTAAATGGGGAGTTCGAGTGCTCAAACTTTAGGCAGATTTCTTAGGGCAATTTTCGAGCGCTCAAAGTCCTTGTTTGAGCCCTCGAAGTACTGTTCACAGGTGTGTGTGTCTTGGTTCAACACTGTACCTCCGACTTCAAATCATCATAACCTCTTCGTTTTAACTCCGAATTGGTCCGTTCTTGAGTCTAAATTGATCACGTCGAAATAAGCTTTCCAATGGTACAAATTAGACCTTCAGATTCTTCTTGTGGCTCAAGTTATTCAAGTTTTAGTAAGGTAGTGTCTGTTTTTGGTTCGAACCGAGATAGGGTTTCCCTTCCTTCGACTTCAGAACTTGATATCTTTGCCGTCCGGACTCCGAATCAAGTGATTCTTGAGTCTATCCTTATTAATTTTTCGTTGTCTTTCCAATGGTGTGCACGGTGGCACCTATTGTAGTGTGAAATGACCATTTTGCCCCTAGGTTCATTCTTATCCGTTTTTAAAATGTTGCTTCCTCATTTTCTTCCTTTGGGTTTCGTGACCTCATTGAGGGTTACATTGGTGTCTTAGAGGAGTGTTGTATCTCTAGAGACTATTGTTCTATCTTTTGCTTCCGCATTTCGGATCCGTATTGGGTCACCACAGGACACACTGGGTTGAAAAATCCAGGGTCGTCACAATAATTATTTGAAATTAATTTCTTTTCTTGGGTGTTTTTTATAAATATCTTTGAAGATATTTTATTTCAGGGGTATCTAAGAAAATATCTTTTGGAAGATATTTTCATTCTGGGGCAGTTTTGCAGTTAACCCTGTTGTGGGGGCAATTGTGTAATTAATGAAAGTTGTTGCAAATTATCTTGTTTTGAGCCTGGATCCTTGTACGGGATTCATTTTCACTTTTCATCGAGTCGTAAACTCTTAGAAGTCCCTTCTGGTCGATGTTTTTCGTTTTTCGTCGTCATGCTGTTTCTCCTTCGTCCAGACTCCGAATCATGCGATTCTTGAGTCCATCTTGATTAGTTTTTCATTGTCCTTCCAGTGGTGTGCTCGGTGGCACCCGAATCTATAGTTTTTAGAAATGACTATTTTGCCTCTGGGGGCTTATTGTCATATTTTCAATCTTTTGCTTCCGCATCAGTTGTTATTGAGTTCTACGACATCATGGAAGGTCACTTTGACTTCTTAGAGTCTTATTTTCTATTTTTGCTTCCGCATATCGGATCCGTTATTGAGTCAATCTTCGGTTCATCACAGGACACACTGGCTTAAAAACCAGGGCCGTCACACAACATAGCAATTATCAGAAGTTCTAGTTTCTTTCAAGATGCATTCACATTTTTCATTAGTTACAAAACACCCTTGTTGAATAAGATTGACTTGAAACTCCTAATCATAGATTTGACTAATACTAAACAGATTAGCAGCTAAACCTTTAACATATAGAACATTTTTTAACTCCCTAATTCCTAAAAATTTTATCTTACCTTTACCATTTACAGTAAAAGCTTTACCATCACCAAAAGTAACAGTACCAACTGAACATTCCTTAAAAGTGGTAAACAATGTTCTATCTACTGTCATATGCCTAGAGCAACCACTATCAAAATACCAACCACATGGACCAAGTGCAGTGTGCATGGCAAGACACTTTAAATTCTCTTTCTTTACCCAAACAATTTTAGATTCATTATGCAATGATTTCCTTATTGTTCTAGGCAAATTGTCACAAGGCTTAACAGTCCTAATCCTCTTCTTCCTCAAATTTGAACTTTCTAGAATTTTCAAATTCTTTCCTAGTTCAATTTTTCTTATCTGACACTTATACTTAATATGCCATTTTTCACCACAAAAATGACATGTTGAAATAAGTTTAGGAAAATTAGTAATAACACAAGGTTTGGTTTCAACTTCCACAAAAACATCCTTCGATTTTTGAAAATACAAATCCTTTGAAGTTGATGTCAAATCTTTGTTACTCATAACATGCCCAACCATTCCTTTCAACTTATCAATTTTGCAAGTGTCAATATCAATTTTTTGAAAGACTGTTTTGATTTAACAGATTCACTACTCAAATTATCAATTTTAAGTTCTAGTGATTTATTAAACAAATTTACCTCCTTAAGCTCCTTTTCCAGAAAATCAATTTTATGAAGATTCAAATTTTTATAGCCAATTTCTTCCAAATTCTTATTAGAGATAGAAACTTCAAACTTATAAATATCTCTATCAAGTTCCGCAAGTTCTAATTTCTCTAACAATTTTTCAAAATCATTTTAAAACTTTGACCACTCAATTTGCATGCTTGTGATAGAATCGAAAACAGGAGGCAAAGATAACACATCAATGGATGAATTTTCAGACATGATACAAAAATCAACAATTAATCGGCAAAGATGATCAGCTCTGTATATCGAGTTACCCGCTCTGATACCAAATTGTAAAACAAGAGTTACGCGGGGTGCAAAAATAGTTAGTTGATTTTAATTGTGAATAACTCCATTAATGACCTAGATCTGATTATGAGGTCAACTTGCTCAATTCATGATTGATTAAATTATATGACCAATTTAAACATGCATCCACAATCACAAATATATGAAAGTAAAGCAAGTTAGAGTTAGAGAGATTGCACCAGAATTTTAGCGAGGAAACCCCAGTTGATAAAATACGTCAGCTATTTGCATGGGAAAAACCTTGTGGACTATGCAGTCCAAAGTAAACCAATCCACTATGTTTGAAACAAAGTATACCGAACTTTGACTCTAAATCACACCCTATCGTTCTACACCACACCAACCGCTGACGATCCTCTGGCTTTGCGACTCCCTGTCCAACAACAACTCAACCTCAGACTTACATTTGATACTAGTAGAAGAGTAACAGGTAGATCAGACAGCACTCCACGAATGTTCCAACCCTTTCAAAGTGTGATTGTGTTTACTTCTGTTCTTGAAGATCTGAACTTGATTATAGAAAAATTAAATCCTGCTGATCATCCAGAATATTTGAATCTTCAATACAGTTCTAATTCCGATGAGATAGAGAACACTACAACTAAATCTCTCATGAATATATATGTGTGCTCTCAGAAATAAATTCAGAATAATCAAATTTGATTTACTGAATTTTTTTTCCCTCTCTAAAGGCTTTCTCAAAATATAGACTTGATTTTCCCTAAAGCCATGAATAAACCAATGTATATGAGATGGCTTATATAGAGTTTTGAAAGTCCTAATCCCTCAGAAAATATGATAATTTCGTGCATAGGACTTGTAAGAAAGTTGGAATCGAAAAGAAAACTTTCAACAAAGAGGAAACTAAAATCCAAGTGCTGCTAGAAGACCTTGAACAGGTTCAACGATCTTGAACCGGTTCAAGATGGATAGTGAGGAATCCCACAGATTCTTGAACCGGTTTAGCCCTCTTGAACCAGTTCAAGATGAGCAGTCTTGAAATTTTGCAATATTTTGCAAGTAAACTTGTTCCGGACCTTCCAGAACCTTCCTAACTGTTCTCACTACCTCTCAACCTTCTTAGAACATTGTCCTCATTATCTTGGAGTGTAGTTTATCATGAACACTTGACTTGCTTCTTCAAAGCTGCATCTAATCTTTAATCTTTGAAATTTTGAACCAAAAAATTACAACTCGATAGAACTTGTTTTGATAATGAAATTAGCCAATTACAAAATCTATATCTCACAACTGTAACATGAAGATATATTTGTATTGGTTTTTAATGGATCATATATTTTAGTTTTGCCCTCCTTTTATAAATACAGCTGCTGGAATATGCGTCGTCTAATCATTACCATGTTCCTGAAAATGAGGATTTTGTTTTGCAATATTTTGACGTGCAAATATTGCCGCCGCCCCTACATTGCCATGTTCCTGAGGATGAGGAATTTGATTTGCAATATTTTGACGTGCAACTATTGCTGCCGCCCCCACAATGCCATGTCCCTGAGGTTGAGGATTTGTATTTGCATGACTTGCTGCGTATATTGCCGCAACCTTATCAGGTCCTAGTGCGGACCCATGGACAAATAAGAGAGCGAGAACAAACAAGACTCTGAACAAGACCGCTATGAAGATTAATTGATCCTTCCTTAGAGGCTCTTGCCAAATCCACTCTGTTTTTTTCCGCTCCCCTTTTGTCTCTATTTATACTTGCCATAAGATGCTTACAGGGTCTGCCAACAATGTCTATATAAAGAAACTACTACTAAATTAATGTTTATTCACTACAAGAAAAACAGTTTTTTATAATGCCCTTTCTACCACGGTTTTAAAATAACCGTGGTAAAAAGAATATATTTCACCACGGTTATTTTAAAACTGTGGTAGAAGAAAAGATTTCTTCTACCACAGTTAAGAGAAAACTATGATAGTAATTGTATTTTTTACCATAGTTATAAAAGAACTGTGATAGAAAGTAAATTTATATAAAAAAGTAAATTAATTTAACTCAAATTTAGACCTACCACGGTTAATGAAAAACCGTGGTAATAAGTTGTTCCACCACGGTTCAGGCACCCTGGTAGAAAGAATTTGGTGCTACACTTTACGCGGGTCTTATTCCCACTACTTACTTAATATTTTAGGGCGAATCATTTCAGACCCCACACGCACACGCACAAGCGGACAGACCACTCACATGGGCAAATCATTTCAACCTCCCAAATCACCTCCATCTCTGTTCTCGTTCTCAACTCTGAACTTGCCCTCTCTCTGTCTCTGCGACTGCAAATTACAAAATCAACAAGAATCAGATCAGCCTCCCAAATCGCCTCCATCTCTATTCTCGTTCTCAACTCTGAACTTGCCCTCTCTCTGTCTCTGCAACTGCAAACTACAAAATCTACAAGAATCAGATCAGCCTCCCAAATCGCCTCCATCTCTATTCTCGTTCTCAACTCTGAACTTGCCCTCTCTCTGTCTCTGCAACTGCAAACTACAAAATCTACAAGAATCAGAACCCATATCGGCATATCATTTCAGATTGTTCAAAAAATCAAAACCCATATCCTTCAGTTTCCATCGCCCGCTGTTCCAGTTCTGGTTCGCCGTTCGCAAGATTCAACCTCTGGCCCGCTGTCTCTCAACTCTCAAGCCCTCTCTCTGCAACTGGTAACTTGTACGTATGGGTTTTGTTTTAATTTTTTTTTTTTCTAAATCAATTTATCAAGTTCTGTAATTCTTGTTTTGCAAAATGATTTGAACAGTACTCTGAAAAATATCTTGACATTGTGTGTGCATTTGTAGTTTTAATTTGGTCTCTAAAGTTGGATTGATGGTTACTACTAGTTGCAATCCTTTACGTGAGTGTCTATGTGCATGCATAGTGTTTGAGAAATTGTTTAGATGAAATTTTAAGTAATTTAATTATGTCAACCGTCTGGTAATGAAGAAAAACAATTTTCGGGTTTTATAGAGAATACAATGTTGTGTTCTTTTCGATGTTTTTAATCTCTATTGCTCATTAACATAGGCGGGGGTTTGGAACAGAACAACTAAGCTACACCATTTCCATGTTAAATGAATTCACTGAAATTTCAATCTCTATTTATCACTGCTACTTGAATTTGAATACTTGTTCGGAGCCAATTAATTTTGATCTGAAAGAGAAATAATTAATAACAAAAATTGAAAAAAATCCAGAGATCCAAGAATTCTCTAACAGTAGATGTAAATGTTCATTTGAAGCACATCATAGCTATCAGTTTTAGGCACAACATCAATTCAGCAAAATGTTTTAAAAAGATGAAAAATGAAGTACTATCTGCCTATGCATATTTCTTAACAAAGCAAATAACAGGGAGCTGAGCAATACATAAGCCCAGAGCTTAAAGCTTAAGCTTCAACAATATTAGCGAAAAAGCAAAACAAATAACAACATCTAGCAAGTTTATAATTATTTAAACGTATGTGTTGATTTGTATTACATGCTGGTTTTATATTCTCAGTTCACAAAGGTGAAGGATACATTGCAATTAAAGAATAAATCAAATGTGGGCACCCAACAGTCAATATTATTTATCGATGTAAAGGCTTTAATTGGTACTGAATTTTCTCTTCTATTTAGGCTAGAACCAGCAATAAAAAAAATGTTCCTATTGTTGTACTAAAGGTGATTAGAACATTCAATATATAAAGGAAAGAAACCAAACAAGGACATGCTAAAGTCCAGACAAAGAGTACTCACTCAAGTTGCACCACCATGAACAACATTAACATGATAATAAATTATAGAGCCAGAGCCGTCCTTGGAATTTAATCACAGACTTATAACTCTTACAATTCTTTAGATACCAGCAAGTTAATTATATAATTCCAAAAGGAAAAAAGTATCTTTTCAATCAGAACAGGCTTAGGCATGCTTTCATTTTTCCCCCTTTCGAACTAAAAAATTGTCCAATATTATACATTTATATTTCATGGATAATTTCAGTAATTCTATATATTTTCACGGCCTTGACTTGCTATGGACCTACAAAGGGAACATGGTTATGGGCTGCCATTTCATCTTGGTTTATTAATTAATTTTAATGTGATTAATTGATCATATTAATTATTTTTATGTTAAGTTGTTATCATAGGTAGTTCATTCTTTATCAATTGTTGACCTAAACATTTGATAAGGGTCCGTTACTCCATCACTCTCCTTGAAAAATTATGAAGACAACTTTTATATCATACATATGTAGATATATATGTGCTTGATTTGACTTCTTGTTATGCTAATGTTGTTATCATTAGTATTTTGGAGGAAGGTTCGTTCTTTCTAAGTTTCAATTGAGAATAATTTTTTACTTCAATTGATGTTTTGGTTTCTCTTGTAGTATTAGCATCACTAATTGTGTTTCTTATACCATTAGCAAATATTTGTTCTAATTATTTTTTGGAATTCATTAGTAAAACTAAAACATTTCTTTCCAGGGCAGTTTTCCCCCTTTGAGATAACTGGTAATGTGATAGGATGTATTATATATTTCCAAAGAATTCGTAAACATCTTATTGGAATTTGATTTGTTTCATTATGTTCATATATATTTTGTGATTAAATCAAATTGACTATTGACAATCAGAAGGACTTATATACAGGAAGTTGGAAAAATTCATTCCTAGGAACTTTATTATTTTCATGGAATTGTAGAATTACTTGCAACCATGACTCTCTTTAAATTGTAAAATTCATGTACAGTTGTAAGCGTCTCTTTAAATTGTGTCCTCCTTGGATTGAGTTTAGGCTCTGAGCTGTGGTTTTTTTGTCTTGTCTTGTTCTTCTACCAGGCATGACTTCCAATTTTTTTCATACAAAGGCTAAGCGACCTGTACGAAAAATAAGTATGTATCTCACGGTGAATGTTATGTTTGTTGAATTACCATATCTTTTCTGCTTTGATTTTGTCACTGTTAGAAGTTCAGACAATTTATTTGTTTTTATCTACTTTGCTTATTTTACTTTTCATATTTTTCAGTAAATATATCAAAAGGATACGATAGATGTAGATAAACCTGAAGGTAAGTTGCCTTTTTTTTTTTTTCCTAATTGTTTTTGGTTTCAATATATTTTTTGAAGCTTTAGTTACATTCTTTTATCTAAAGCTAGTTTGAGTTTCACCATGAATACTTTTCAGCTAATGTTTATTTCTCTGGGTCTTAATCTTGATTCTCTTTTTGTTATAGTCCTGTTGCTATGATTATGGAGCTTGCTGTGCAAAATAGTAGATATTTAAAATTTTTACAATCTGATTATTCAATGTATTTATAAATTAAAATCATCGCTCCTTTATTTGTGTTATGAATGGATTATGACCGTTTTAACATTCTGATCTGAGTTACCTTTGACCATTCATAATTTATTATATGACTGTCAAAATTCATGTGATAAGTCACTCACCAAACAAGAAGAGTCGAGTTTAAGCTAATGATGCCTTTGCTCAAATATTTGTCATCCATCCAGCAGTCGAGTTTAACACAATTTTTTTAAGCCTCGAGAATAAACTTTGGATTCTTTTTTAGGTCAATTATAGGAGTCAGTAACCTTAGGCTTGCACCTGTGAGTTTAAAAGAGTATATATGATGTTATTTTGATAAGTTTTACAAACAGCTCTATACTTGTTTGTTCAGGATCTCAAACAGATCACCCACTGAAACTATGTAATGTTCACAAAACCCTTTTAAAAAGAAAAAAGAACACAACCATTTAATTTTGTTTCTAATAAAAACTGATTTTCCATAATAAAAACATAAGTGTGATAATGCATACAAATCTTGATACATCAAGTACTTCCCTTATTTCATGCATATTAATTCATAGATCTGTGTGTGCCCTGATTATTTATTTTTAATATAATTTTTCTTTCTTGAGTTCCTTAGTGAGAGTTTTGGCTAAACTTTCCTTCTTTGTTTTCAGTTATGTTTTGACTGCTTGGAGTCTTGCCTTGAATGCTTTGGAGGGAAATGTAGTCTTCCAAAGGGGCTGGGAAAAGACGACAATGGGAGCGTCGATTGCATGGCCTATCAAGTACATCACAATTTGTAAGTTATATGGTCTTTATGTTCGATAAAATTCTTTTATGATTGCATATTTTTAAATGGGGGTCACATGCCTTTAAGCGACCAATTTTGTGGTGTATCTTGAACTTTATTACCTTATTGGTATATCGGCCCGTGTGGAGGCCGTTTTTATTTCTTGTTTTAAAATGTTGAAAGCATGGGAGTATGGGATCATCGTATGTGGAGGTTTTGATTGATTGTTGTGGAGGAGAAGTTGTCGATATGTTGTTTAAGGAGTTAATGCAAGTTGGCAACTTTAATTTTTTTTATTTTATTTATTAGTTGTTATTCATATTATATGCATATAATATGAATAACAACTAATACATATCTTCGCAATAATACATGCTCAAAATTGTATAAACAAAATCAGGATGCCATTTTTCATGCAAACGATGTGCCTACATAGTTTCAAGATTGTATTATAGGAGGCAAAAATTATTTAGTATGAAGATACTTCTTATTTTAGTTCTATTTTTCACTGAAATAAGACTTTATACTAGACAATCTTATCGTCCGGAAATTACATGATTTTCTGCTAACACGGAGAACTTTGCGTTAAGGATGTTTTACAAGGTAATTATAGATCATTAAGTGTTATTCGTCTTATTACTGGGGATGACACCATGTCTGAAACCCATCTTCTCTCCAGTCATCAATTGCCTTTGCAAGTCAGACTTTGTTGCTCACACTTAGAGAAAACTTAACTTGGACTTCTTAATCTTTGAAGACATCAATAGAATGAAGCCTCTAGCTAAAAACATCAAAAGGGCAGAGATTTCTTTACCCTATGGAATGACACTAACTCTCATCACTGAAGGACACTTACAATGAGAGAACAATCAGACATGGGGTATCAGTTTGTCAATGGTCAATGGATTCACCAGACAAAGCACTTCCCTAGCTGTCATTTTAGTCATCACCAACATTCTCCATCGCAAATCAGATTTTTTTTATTTTTATTTTATTTATTTATTTTTTCAAAATTTCCTACTAGGATGGAAGAGGAACTGGAAGAACTCAAAAAGAGAATGACTCGCTTTATCTCAAGGTTGATAAAATGGGGGTGGATATGCCCAGTACTTCAACTCGTGGAGTTCATAGTTTTTTAACTCCTCCACATACAATATGTCACCCCCACTTTTTTACCACAAGGCCACCTTAGTCCTTCCATTTTTTATACATCTTTACTTTTTTATGCTTTCAAATGGGAGTCCTACGGTCAAATCTCTATATGAGGATTATAATATGCCCTTTAGTTGGTTAGATTCATAGTAACGTAATTAGTCTCATATCACAAGTTTTATAGTTAACATCTGTTAGCAGAGGACCAGTATTATGAGAAACATTGAAATAGAACAGCAACATAACTTCACATTTACATTTCAAATGCATATTGGGTAGCATTTTTTTTGTGCTCAGATTCTTTAAACCATTTTCTGAACAGTGTCAAACATCTATGCTAATCTGCCATGATCTATCAAGAACCAGTAAGATCGCAAACTAATTCAGCAAAACATGTATAAATGTGGACATATATGTGTTCTAAGTTGGTTACACCTTGAGAATTGTATACTTGTTTTCATCTTCCTTAAATACTATATTTCAGATATAGTATTCAGGTGGTAAAAGTGTTCTATGAAATGGCGAGCTAAAGACTTTCTTGAACCTTTCTGGATCTTCTCTTCTTCTTCTTCAATGGGGGTGGGAAGGGGGTAAAGGTAAATTAATTTGAATTATAACAAATCTTGTTATTGTGGGATATTATTTGAAAACTTGAAGTACTATTATATAGTAGAAGCTGATGATATTTCAGCTAGCCTATATAATTACAAAGCTAATTGCATGTAACTAGAATTCTAATTAGTCTCAATGTTTCTTTGGTTCGTCTCTATTTGATTATGATATATATTACATTGAAGATTTGAAGGACTCTTGTAGTCATGCATTACTACTCAAATGATTTCTTTTGGTGACGGGATGTCAATGACCCAAGATATTGAGTTAATACGAAGAGTCTATTGTAATGCTTGCTTTGCTTGGTTTAATTTTGACAACTTTACAACTTGCTTTACATTCTCTGACTTCAACTATTACATCTTTGTAGGTCAAAGCCAAGATTGCGGTTGCCGTTACTTTTTTTGTTGCGGTTATATTTTTTATATGGCTCATGAAGAAGTTGCATATATGTAATGTAAGAGAAAGACTGAAACAGAGCAAGAAGATATAAGAATTTTTGTTTTATTTTGGTATATGGTATAAGAAGCAAGAAATTTGTATATGGTTAATTTTTGTATAAAACAATAATTTGGAATTTGTTATATACATATATGATGTTGTTGGTTAATTGTAAGTTATTTTGGTTATGATGTTATTTTTTATTTATTTAGTGTTTGTTTATGGAGTTTTTGCAAGGCTGGTAGTAAGGAAAAAAAGGCCTCATTGGGGCTGCAGTAATTTTATTTTTTACTTTTTATTTTTTTTTTAAAATTAAATACCACTTTCTATCACGGTTTTGAACCGTGGTAGAAAGTTGCACCGTGGTAGAAAGAAGACTTTTTACTACGGTTTTGCACCGTGGTAGGAAGAACGACTTCACGATTGAAAAAGGACTTTCTACCACGGTTTTGCACCGTGGTAGAAATAAGACTTTCTACTACGGCAGTTTCTACCACGGTTCAAAATCGTGGTAAAAAGCCTTTTCTACTGTGGTAAAAAGTTATTTTTCTTGTAGTGATTCTCCATAATACATGCCAAAATAATAGTGCATGTTAATATATGTATGGTTGAATTTGCTACCTATGTCAAAGTCAATCATATGATTCATAACATTTACTATACATGTTAATACGAGTATAGTTGGATAATTATATAACCATATATACTATTTGATTGGATTTGAATTCTTTCTTAGCTTTCCCAATGATTATTGGGTAATTATCTAACCATACTATTTAATTGGATTTGAGTTCTTTTTAGTTTTGGAAATTTAATTTCTTGTAGTAGATGATGGACTATTTTTTTATTGGCTTCCAAGCTCTCCTAATGACTACTCACATAGACTTACAATGGAATATTTTACTCCCCCTTTTTATTGCCTTTGCTTGGGATCACCTTATTTGGTTCAAGCACCATATCTCAAAACATGGATACATTGTTTGGTTAGCTCTCAAGGAGAGACTTTCAACTCTGGACTCAAAGCAAATGTTGAAGAAACACTACACCAATGCCTGTTATCTATGCCTTGCACATGAGGAATCAGTGGATCACATCTTCTTCAAATGCCGTTATAGCTCAACCATTTGGAATTTCATCCAACATGCAGAAGGCTTCTACATTAAACCTAACAGTTGGAAGGATTTGATTGCTTGGTGCTCAGTAACTTGGACTCAGGAACACTTCATCACTCACAAACTTCTGTTATCTTGTGCCATCTACTTCATTTGGCAGGAGAGAAATGCAAGAGCTTTCAGAAACAAGTCTTCATCAGTTAATCAAATTATCCACCTCATCAAGGCTGCATAAGAACTAGATTTGCGTCAATCAAGTTAAAGAGAGGTGCTGACATAAGAAAGATTCAATAAGTTAAAGCATTGCAGCAACTATTCTTACAAGGCTGCTCTTTTTCCAGTGGGCAATTATGGTTCTTACTGTAACCCTTTCAATGCCACTGGAAAATTGTGTGCTACTTCCTATAGGGCAATTATGTTTTCCCGTGTCCCTCTCAATACTTTGTTATTTTTTGTTTGATGTGATTTCATTTGCTGCCAGGGTTTATGTTCCGTTTGGCTTGGTGCATGTTTGGACCACTTTGTACATACTTCTTTTCTTTTTATAAAGGTTATCCCTTTAACCAAAAATAAAAAAAAAAAAACCAAATCAAATTACATATTACATTATATACAATATCAAAGCGCATTAAAGACCACAACAGGTTAACATAGTCAAACGAAATGAGTTCAAAGCTCCTTAGGTGAGTTCATAGTCAGGGTTGTGGACCATCTTTTACCGTCCCTTCTTTATACGAAAATGTTAATTAATGGGGGGAGCTACAAGCTCAGTAGAGAGTGGTTATGTAACGACCCGAACCCGGGAGTCCAAATCGCTAACCGGGTCCTTATTTTTTGATTTATAAATGAAAATAAACACTGTAAAACCAAATCGAAAGAAGTTAGCCTTTTGATTAAAAAAGAATAAATATAAGTTAGATGCAATATGTATCGATCTCTTTTTCACCTGCTTCTCTTGGTTGCAATAACACAATTCTACATTTTATATGATGATTGGAAAAGTAATGATATTCAGAATGAAGAGTTTGTTTGAATGAAATGAGGCAATCGAAAGCTCTTAATTCATTAGAAACACTCAATTGAATGTCACATCACTATGAAAAATCTCCAGCTTCTATTTTGTTCAAACTCTTTTGCCTTAATAGTCATTTTCCTTATTATAATATAAGAATGAGATTAGATTTTTTTGGTTAAGTGGAGGGTCCAATAACTTCCATCTTATCCATTAGATCAATTTGGAGCAGTAAGTAGCCATAGAAGTGCTAGTACTCCACACACAACTTATTATATTCTTGCAAACATCTTGATGGAGTGTGTGTATATGTGGTGCTTCAAATAATTTTATCAGAAAACATCTTGATGGATTGTGTGTGTGTGTGGTGCTTCAAATAATTTTGTCACTAAATAAGCTTCTGTTAGACTACAAAAGTTCATCCTATTGAAAAGCTAGATACCTCCGAGTAGTATGGTGTCTTAAGATTAATAGAGTCAATAATAACTATGTTGATAGAACATTGTGTCCATGCATCTGAACACACACACACACACACACATACATATATATATATATTAACCCCAAGAAAATATAATATTAGTTTGTCTTGTGTCTGCATAATTCCGGCTTAATATGGTGTTTTCTGCTTCTAATGGCAAGTTTGGTGAAACCAGCCATTACTACAAGCTGCCCACAAAGTTAGAAAACTTAAAAGGATATTGTTTTCATAAGGGCTTTAAATATTTATTCTGTCCATTTGGGTTTTTTTTTTTTTTTTTTTTTTTTTTTTTTTTTTTTTTTTTTTGTCATTGTCTACTTGAAATTTTATTATTACTATAAATTAATGACCTCCACACCCATATATGTTCTAGAGGAAAAGTAATGGTATGGCTGTTTTCCTTGTTACAAATTGTATCATACTAATTATTTTCATTTGACAGTTGGTGGCACACTGTAGAAAATTTGAAAATATTAAGTTCTCATCATCTAGCACTGAGCAATTTTTTTGGGAATTTCATGCAAAACAAATAATAAACACAAATTTAAAAGCTTGACCTATGCATGCAGAACGGAAGTATCAAAAGCTCTCACTACAGCACCATCCACTACCCAACAACTATTCAGGAGATCTCATGCAAAAAAACAAAAAAAAATGCTTGACCTATGCATAAACATGCATTACATACAAACCTAGAAAGAGCCTAAACAAGAAACCTGGACCAAATTATCTTCGTTTCGAATGTGCTCGTAGTAGGCTGATTTAGAAGGTTTCACCTGTTCGTCTGGATGTAAAAAAAAAAAATTCGTTTTGGGTTTTTTGACACATTGTGGCTGAAGGCATTAGAACTTGGAGGAAATGATGGTGATAGAGATTTGCGGCGGGCTGTCTTTGCTATACATGTTGGTACATATGGAAGGCACACAAAGACTATATCTTATGATTGGGAAATTACAAAAATGGCAGTGAAGTTCCAACAACCTTGCCTCTACGATGATTGATCATGACCGTTGGAAATCTCCAGCGGTGGTGCGAATTGGTTGGATGGCTCCACCTTTGGGTTATTTAAGTGCAGCGTTGATGCCGCTTTCAGGCCATGCGGTAAAGCAACAGGTGGAGTTTTGATTGTGCGTAATAATGGTGGTCACATTTTGAGAGCAACATGCCCTCTAGAGTTTACAGCTGATGCAACAGTTGCAGAGGCAGCCACTCTCCAAAAGCTCTTCAACATTAACGTTAGCCATCTTGCTTGATTTCACCGCAACATCTTGTTCGTGATCGGTTTTCAGTGCATACCCATGAACAAATAAGAGAGCGAGAATAAAGAGAACAAGAATGCCATGAAGATTAATTTAATTCTTCTTTAGTGGCTCTTGCCAAACGACTCTGTTTTTTTCTCCTCCCACTTTATCTCTATCTATACTTTTAATAAGGTGCTCGCCGGACTGGCAACAATACCTAAATAAAGAATATGCCCCTATGTGTAATACGTTTATAATTGAATTTATTGTCTCATACAAATACATTATGTTGGATCGATCTGAAATCTGCTAAATTTTAACTTTTGAGATTATTTGAAAAGTGAATTTGGATCCTCAATTGTAACAGGTCATATGCTCATGCTATAAGGTGTTTTGTGTATTATGTCCAAAACTAATTCTCACGTTGTTGTTTCATAAACCGTTACAAATTTTGACCCGAAACGACGTTTACTCCAAAAACGGTGGTACGATAATAAAAAAATAATTTAAACAAGAGAATTGATTATTCAAATTTTCATTTTTCTTTTTATTCTCTCGTCCCATGATTGTTGAAGTCTATCTATCTAATCATTTTTGATGAACACATCCTCAATCCCTAAGTTACTCACACACTGTCTTTGTATATTTTTCAACAGCAAACACGCTCTCGGGGGTCATTTATTGGAGGAAAGATATCAAAGATTGTGTTGTGCGAAACCTTTAGATTCAGGATGTGATCTCACTTTATTTCTTTCATTAAATTGAATTTGGTTTTATAATCTCATGATGATGTCTTAAAGTTCTACAAAATAAATCTTAGTTTCAACAATTTAAATTAATCCAAAATTCAATATTCGTAATACAATGTTTTTTTTTAAAAAAAATCAAAAATAAAAAATAAGACCATCACTTCATTTTATAAAAATAATTGAACACATAAATATTATCTAAACACATTATTTTTATATGGTAAGAAAGGAAGGGATCGTGTTGGATTTTGATTTTCCTGGTGCAGCTATTGGCTTCTCTATTGTTTGCCTTGGGAAATATATATATACACACACTAATATTACCAACACAAATTTTTTTTTTTCTTCATATTTTAACACACTCAATTCCTCTTTTCAGTTTATTATTTCAAAAACACTTAATTCTTGATTCAGAATTCAACACACATAATTATGTACGATTAAATATACTTATTTTCAAACAACATTATGAAGTAAACACACTTTTATTCAATACATTTAATTATAGAATTAAGCACACTTAATTCTATAATTACTGCAACATGAAGAATAGTTTTGCCCTCCTTTTATAAATACAGCT